GGGGCGTCCCCTGCCTTGTGTCCTGTGATGGACAGGCATCCCATCCCATCCGGGGCGTCCCCTGCCTGTACATCCTGGGACAAGTTCTAGGCTCACAGCGACCCTCAAGGAGTAAGATCGATAGTTGGAAAATGTTGGGAGGATGAATGGATTTTTCCTGTGGGCTTTCATATCAGCCTTTGTGTGCACAGGTGGCCATATTCAGCCATATGTGTCGAGAGCCTGAGATGGCATTGCAGATTTGGTGAAACATAAAGTTCATATGTACACAGACATGGACCTCCTCATTGAATGACACCTATTGGCATGCATGGCAGAAATGACACCTGCTCTTCAAAGAGAAAGACTGAATTTGGTTGGCTTCTGGAGCTGCCAATTTTGTTAATTATCCAATGAAAGTAGCCTGTCAACTAGCATATTTTAATCATTGTGCCCAGTCTCCGGCTAGTTGGAGCAAAGTAAGCAGCAGAAGCCACCTCCCTTTTAGATCGCTGCCTCAAATTGAGGGGTCATATAAGCCTGGTTCTCGTAACCGTGCGAGCGCACGGAACGAGTTAGGGAGCTGAGCTATGGAGATTTATGGGCGAGTGTGTCCAGATGTGGGCGCGGCGGTGAGCAGATGAAAGAGGGCCCTGCTCCTGCTGACAGCTTGGAGCCAAGACTCCACAAATGTTTAGTGGCCATTAAAGCCGGGTGAATCAAAGGGAAGCGAATGAAGGAGGCAGCGTGCAGTTATGGTGCTCACCGAAAAATGATCTCAGGCGGGGCCACTATCGGGATCCTTTTGAACAATGTTCTTATATGACTACATACAGGGCAGCTGGAGGTTAAGAGATATAGATGTGAGCTCTACCACCAGGGGGGCAGAGCTATTGTACCTTTGATGTAGTTATAACTTGAATTGTCAGTATATGTTCAGCCGTATAAATAAGTGAGATGTGTCAAATGCTTTAGAACTGATGGCAGCATTAAAACTCACTGTTTCAAATTATCTGTGACTTCTTTGTGAGACTGCATCGGATTTGCATTTTCAGGGTCGGACAGGGGACTGCAGCAAGCCCTGTCCAACATTACATACTGCATAGTGTGTGGAAAAAGCAGAACTGTTATCCTGTAAGTCCAGCATTTACCTGGACTAATTAACAAGGATGCTCTGGCTATTCTGTATGGGGAAAGTCTCTCTACTGCCCTCTGGTGGTGCACTGAAACACAGCTTGTTATCTGGATTTGTTACATAAATATCACTTTTAGCTGCTTAGCGAATATGTTCTTGTCTAGAGTGGCTTGCAGGTTTTATGAAGATGGATATTTTTTAAACTGACATTAAGCGACTCTCTGGAAACATCAGGCTGCCTCTTTGCATCTCCTTGGGTCCCCTTCAGATCAGACCTTGGCTTAAGGGGTAGCAGGATTCATGTCTTTATTGCATCTCTGCTGCGTTCGATCGGCTCAGGATGCTGGTTTTCATCCTGCCTCGTTTACATCGGTATCTATTGCCTGAATGGGTGCCTATCAGGTTCATGCAGGACAGAGATGTCTCAGCTGTTGCTTTCCTCTGCCATTCCAGTCAGAGCTCAGGGCCTTCCGTGCAGTTATGGACTGTAAGGGCCAGATTGCGGCTAAACATTCATTTTACCTCCATAAAAAGTTACAAACTGAATTATCATCTGAGACAGAAATGATTGTTTTTATATTGCTGGTTTATTGCCCCGTAATGATGTTTACCAAGAATTACTCCAGCGATCTTTATCATCTTATTATTATGCTATTGAATGGTTGAAAATGAACATGTGTGGTGGATTTTTCCAGTTTTTCATTCTCAGTCGCTGCTTGATGGGTCTTCATTCTGTTTCAGGAGTGGCAGAACTCGATCCAGAAGAATGCAGGCCTGGCCTTCATCGAGCTCATCAATGAGGGCAGGTAAGCGGCGTCGTAGCACAGGCAGAGCTCAGCTCCACCGTCTCTGTAATCAGCCTGCCGCTCAGCTGTCCTCAGGCCACCTCTCCGGGTTCTGGGGAGAAACGCCGGCACCCAGATTAGCCGAAATCCTATTGATCCTGCAAGATTTAGAACTGCTATAGGACACACAGCCTTCTCAGGGAGGTGTAAGGGATGGAAGTGGGGGAGTGACCTCAAACCGAGAGAGAAGGAGGAGTGACTGGGCCATCATGTGTGCGCTCTGCATGGGTGCGGAGCCTCGGACACGCTGCTTGGTGGGAAGGATTAAGGTCAGCTCACACTGAACCCATCTGCTGGGCCCATATGTTGCAAATCCCCTACTCCCAATCCCCACACACACACACCACCTCACGCCCTAGGCCACCGGCCTGCTGCAGGGTGCTGTCCAGGGTGCTGGCCTGGAGTCCTGTGGCTGCCCATCCCTGCTGCTGCATCTGCTCCACCCACATCTTAGCCACTACATCTGCTCCGCCCACATCCATGGCTCTCCGTCTACCCCGTCCACATCCCCGCTGCTCCATCTACTCCACCTTTGTCCCTGGCTCTCCATCTGCTCCGCCTGCATTACCTCCGCTCCATCTGGTCCACCCATGTCCCTGCCGCTCCACCTGCTCCGCCCACATCTCTGCCGCTCCACCTGCTCTGCCCACATCTCTGCCGCTCCACCTGCTCTGCCCACATCTCTGCCGCTCCATCTGCTCCGTCCACGTCCCTGCCGCTCCACCTGCTCCGCCCACATCTCTGCCGCCCCACCTGCTCCGCCCACATCTCTGCTGCTCCACCTGCTCCGCCCACATCTCTGCAGCTCCACATGCTCCACCCACGTCCCTGCCGCTCCACCTGCTCTGCCCACATCTCTGCCGCTCCACCTGCTCCGCCCACATCTCTGGCGCTCCACCTGCTCCACCCACGTCTTTGCCGCCCCATCTGCTCCACTCACGTTCCCGCTGCTCCATCTGCTCCACCCACGTCCCTGCTGCTGCATATGCTCCGCCCATGTCTCTGCCCACAAGCCTGACCTGCTCGTTCAGAGCCTCGGTAAAGGCCCTCATGGTTGAGACTTTCAGGACATTGTGTGGCTGGCTCTGTGTACACACCTCCTGTTTCCTTTGTCTTGAGTCCTCTCCATCTCCATGCATCAAGCTAGCTGCTTTCTGACTCCACCCATGAGCTGGATGGCACGTTTACCGTAGCGTGTTCCACGTGGATGTGGGGTCAGGGCTTAAATGCTGCTGCTGGATGCCCTGCTATGGGTTTGGGCACCGCATCTGCAGAAATATTGTCAAGACCCAGGCTACCTGAATTCCCAACACACACTGGTTGCTTTTTCATTTTCTTCTAGTCACTGACCCACCCAGATGTAAATCCAGGGTGGTTGTTTAAACAAACCTTACTGGGTAACCGGCTATAACTGCTGAATTTATGGCGCAGTGCTCTGCTTCAGAAGAGACTGCACAGAAACTGGCGGGACCCCTAGGCTCGGCCCACTGCATCGTGGGAAAAGGGCTGAGGTGCATTGAGGCATCGCCATGAATTCACACTGAGTGCAGCTAAATTATAGCTCTCCCTCTGACTCCCAAGACCTGGCCTTTACGCAGGCTTTTTATTGTGGAGGGACGTGCATAAGAGCGTGTGGCGTGGAAGTTGTTGGTTCTGGATGGGCAGCTCGCTTTCTTTGGAAGCTTGGCAGCCAGCTGGAAAGGCCCCTTCTCTCTCTGCCTTTCCTCTTTTATTTATTTTTCTTTTTGCTGTGGGAATATTACACATCTCAGTCCACTTAGTTAATGTCACAGGAAATGAGCAGCGCAGACATTCAGACCCAGGGCAGCTGTGGGCGGCTGAGAGCTGCGGTTTGAATTGACTGTGTGTTTACCCCCTGTACCCCCCCCCCC